GAGCAAGTAATTATCTGGAAATGAGTATGGAAATAGTGTCCACTTCTATAGAAGGTGCATGGCTGGGTCATACTGAAGCCTGAGTTCTGGTCCTAGCTCTGACACCCTCCCTCTCGAGCCAGGTAATCTTGAACAGGCATGTCATAACCTTTCTGTGCTTCACTGTCCTTTCTTCAGAACTTAAAATTGACTCATTACTGAATAACAGTTTTGTAAGGACCGTGCATTTGTTGTAAAACATAAAGAACCTTATAAGCATAAGGAATCTTTAATGACTGTTATACAACAATGTTCTAACAAATCACATAAAAGCCACTTTGGCCATCTCTCGTGAGCCGCCTCACTATGTGCTTCCCTACTGCCTCAGGACTCTGCAGAGAGTTCCCACCAGCAAGAAGGCCCTCACCAGATGTGGCCCCTCAACCTTGGGCTTCCCAGCCTCCAGACTATAAGAAATAGTTTTCTTAATGAATTACATAGTCTCAGGTACTCGGTTACAGCAACAGAAAATGGACTAACTCGGTACCTCATCTTTTAGCCTCCCACTTCTATGACAGGATATAATGCAAAGTGCATCACTGGCCAACTAAGCTATCTACAGACAAAAGAAAAATTCCCACAGTTTAGGGACACAGGACACTTTGAAAAGACATATCATGGCAGAACCTACAGGAAGGGAAAAAAGAAGACTGCCATTCCAGGACACTTGATATTTGGCTTAGGTTTCCAGAAGAAAGAGACTGTTGTACCAGTACAGGCCAGCTGGAGCCTGCCAGCGCAGCTCTGCAGTGTTCTCCTTCCTCGGGAGAAAACTGAAGGAGATTCTGCACGATCCAGGGAGGGATCTCCAGGTGTGAGGTCACCCCGGGAGATGCCATCGCCATGGTGAAAGGCAGCTTCTGAGGGGCCATCTCTCTCTCACTCCATTCCTCTTTCAAACAGTTTTATTTTTTTTCTGATTCCAAAGGAATAAAGATGTCTTAATAAAAATTTAAAGTAGAGAAAGATAACTGAGAAAGTGAAAAAAAACACAACAATGTTCTAACAAATCAAATGTTGAAAATATTGTACTATATACATTTCTATACTACTAAAGGGACAGTCCCTTGATTTTCTTTAGTTCATTATTCAAATATCAATATATTCCTTTGTTATTATAAATGAAGTGTTTTTTTTTTTTTTTTGAAACAGAGTCTCACTCTGTTGCCTGGAGTAGAGTGCTGTGGCGTCAGCCTAGCTCACAGCAACCTCAAACTCCTGGGCTCAAGCAATCCTG